GTGCCCAGTAGTGTCCTCAACTTGGGTATGAATGGGAATATAATCCAGGTTTTGGGGCCCGGAATGTGGCGTAAAGGACCGTAGTAGGCCTGGTATATGCCCCTAGCAAGATGAAAAAGTAGCCATGAGATGGCGGCGAACAAGGCAATCTGAGGGAGATTTTCCGCAAGAAAGTCACCGCCTGAAGCCATGACGACAAGTAAAAGACTGAGACGCTGTGGATAATTGCTAGGCTGCGTCAGGTGAAGGTGACGATGAGCCTGGGGACTTCAACGCGTGCGGAAGAAAACATCTCCTAATTACTCTGTGAAAAGACTCTTCTCTTTTATGCGTGATCTCAAAGCGGTATATGGAGCTTGCATGTGCCATTGTGGTACAGATAATTGTTAATACCACGGGCGCAGAGACCATGCTCCTCACCGGAGCCGATCTGCTGCCGTGGCCGAGACCAACCACGGTCGCAGAGTCATGGTGTTGTATCGCACCGCCAAGTCTATGCCATATCTCGGTGCGCTGACGTATCAACATCTAGATCGGACTCTATCATGGCCCCGTTGCACGGTTGCATGGACCTAGCGCCCCCCACATAATCGGCGTTAACACACATGTCGAGACGTCGGAATGTTTTCATCCCAGACCGCCACCGATTTTGGTTCGCAAATGTCTACATCTTTGTACGACTTCGCGCTCGCGCGAGTGTCTATCGCCGACAGCTCTCAACCCCTATGGCGTAAGGGCTAGCTTGGTACACAATAGCAGCTGCCTTCAGTCAGGGTCCCGTGCTGATGTTCGACTTTTAGCTGGTGATGATGATCATGCCCATGCTGATGCTCAAACCCGGGATTTCTGATGTCAACTCACCTTAGACCGGGGGGCCGCCATGTAAGCTGATCATGGGTGCTCCATTGATTAATGTCTCGGGCAGAGAAGAGTGGAGGAGAAGGCCGGCCCCATGCGCTCCTCTTCTTTCTCTGCTTTTATTTTCCATTTTTAAAATTCTCTTCTTTAATTATCTTTCATGTTGCCCTACGCGATTTCGTCTCAGCGCGTTGCACATGATTGTATTGGGCCCTGCCTATACATACATACATACATACATATATACTGTATATATCAGTGCCTTCCGCGCTTGATTTAATGTTGAATGTGTTGTTAGGTATGATTGGCTAAGCAACGAGGTGAAGTCGCCCGAAGGATCTCGAGGCTTGCAAAATATGCAGTTGGTTCTATCCTATTGCTTCATTGGGCGAGAAGAATTAGCGCCAACGCCGGCCTGATTACGTCCCCCACGTTCCTGAATCCTGAAGACTCTAGTGCCCATTTAAGAAAGGGGAAAACCTGATGCCCAGCCTGGTCACATATTTGCCACTGCTCATTGTGACTAAACCTCGGGAGCCTTCAAGTTTACTCGTCTTCCCTCATTCTCCAACTGCGCGTTCTTTTCAATTATCCACAAACTGCGATTACAATAGAACCAGTAGGTTCGCCATACCAGAAATAACAAACCTGGACCGCCACCCCGCGGTGCTTTCATATAAATTCTCACCCCTCTATATGCAGTCCAACATAATGACGTGGCCGCCCAAGCTCGACCTAACTCCTGAGCAGCAAGCGAGTAATCTAGAATATTTCCGTCATCAGCTTCTCGAAACTTGCCCTGCCACCAAGCGGGACGATGTCGATCTCAGTGGGAAGACAGCAATATTGACAGACGCCAATGGCGGGATTGGAGTGGAATGGAGTGGAATGCGCCCGTCAGCTCCTTGATTTGGGCTTGAGCAAGCTCGGTAAGTTGATACATATGGCTCATATTGGTCTCTGCTTACAATGACCCGCCCAGTACTTGCAGTACGAGAAGAATCTAAAGGTGAAGCCGCTATCAAGAGAATCTCCACCAGGCGGAAGCTCTCGCAGGGCCAGGTTGAAGTGTGGAAGCTTGACATGTCGTCCTACGAGTCAATTACGACCTTTGCAGAGAAGGCGGACGCTCTCCAACGACTAGACCTCGTAATTCTCAACGCTGGCGTGTACAGAGTCAACATGGAGTTCAACCCATCCACAGGCCACGAGGAAGATGTCCAAACCAATTACCTATCAACTAATCTCCTCGTCCTGTTGTTTATCCGTGTCTTCAAGTCGAAAGGAGAATCTGGGGCACTCTCCACACCCGGGCGTATTGTCATTGTGACTTCAGACTTGGCCGCATTCGCGAAATTCCCAGAGAGGGGCGCAGACCCTTTGCTTCCCGCCCTGGACAAGAAGCCGGTAAAATGGGATATGGCCGAGCGGTATAGTACCTCGAAGCTCATGGTCCAGCTGTTCCTGTCTGAGCTGACCAAGGTTGTCCCTTCTTCTGATGTTGTTATCAATGCTGCCAACCCCGGATTCTGCTACGGAACCAGTTTATCTCGTGATGCCGATGGCACTTTACTAGGCTTCATCGTCTTTTTGATGTCCCATATTATCGGGCATTCCCCTGCAATTGGCGCTCGAGCGGTAATTGATGCCGCTGTTAAGAAGGGACAGGAGTCTCACGGCCAGTATGTAGAAGGTCTTTGATGCCTCCTGACACAGACAATACGCAGTCTAGGCCGGTTGTCTTCGTTCACTAATGCTTTGGAAGACCCAGCTTGATTATTTGGTTTCCCACGGCCTCCTGTCGATGTTATTTGAGTGGTTCGCAAGGTGCCCTGTCCACTTCATTCAAGTGTTCCCTAGTCAGCTCAATGCAGAATTGACTGAGGGAATTCTGCTCTAGAAATTTATATAGACCGATGCCTCAAGTTGTCCACGACCATGCCACTCTGCCACGGCGATCTGCAAGATCAGAGATCAGAAGTAAGAACGGGTCACGAACATATAGTTGAACCCTCGACTTTCGCCGGGTCGCAGCCGACGGTTTGTCAGAGAGACAGTTGTACCGGAGGCGCTCATTTTGGCGCCAGAGAGCTTCTGGACCAGCGTGCCCTTGCCAAGGCCCGAAGGGCCGGAGATGACAGTAGGCCGGACATGCTGGTAGGGCTGCGGCTCGAGGTGTTAGTTCTGTTTTTAGTTCTGCTGAATTTGCGATGGGATTGTTAGCCAGATCCGGCCTCTGTCAGGAGCCAAGGCTCGAAGGAGCGCTGCTGCCTAGAGCCTGTAGGAATCAGGGGAAATTGTTGAGCGACTGCCGGTAGGGCAACAAGCTGAAAGAAGCCGGCAGTCTGCCCCGTTATCCCAGAAACCTCGCATTTGGTAACCTGAATTGCCAACCGCACGATTATTCAGACCTGGAACAAAGCTAGCTGCCTCGTGCACCGAGTATGGAATTCGGTTACAACCAGGAACGACCTCTCAAGAATTGTCCCCTCGACCCTGGAGCGCGATTCCAATGTCCCACATTACCACCTGGGCAAGCGTAGATGCTGTCAGACTCTTATTTATCCTATGTCCCAAGCACACCTCGCTTTCATATTGCAATCTCGGTCTTTGATCCATCGCTTATGATGACTTAGAAAGAATCTGTAGATATAAATGCCGGGAGCGAATTGTGATAGTCTCGTTGTGGAATATGTTCCCTCTTCCCAGCTTCCACAACTTTGCGATTTGTGTGTATTCAGGCGCTTGCCATATTTTCAACATAGTACATCATAAATATTCTTGACGCACGATATCTTCGTTTCAACCGACGCAATGCAGCTGGCGACTGTGATCAGGACCGCAGTCTTTGTCCTGGTCTCGTTTCAGGTGGCTGGCGAGCCCCCCTACTGCGGTGCCATAGAACAGTCTAACCCCAACGTGCCATCCATAACGAGTGTCTCGGGGACACTCACAGTGCCATCTGGCCTTTCCCGGTATGACGGCGCTGGATTCAGGGCGTATGTTGGCATTTCGTGCATGTCAGGTTTCGACGACGCCGTCCAACTCAGCTTAGATATCGACGTAGGTAAAGATTATTTCCTTCGTCAATAGTAGATCACAGCCTGAATGCTAAACAAACACCAGGTCGTCGGCGGTGCCCCTCAGTATAGAGTAATTTTCGACAAAGGTTCCCGCGATGCTGCAAACCGCTACTTGGAAACAGTAACGAATATGCCTTGTAAGCTTGGGAGCCGATTCGCTGGTCTCGAGCCTGAATAATAAAACTACAATCACTGATGTGAGGCAGTCTCTCCGGGCGATCTCGTTCACCTGAGCTTAGAAGTCAGTCGTGATGGAACTGAGGGCGTCATGTTCGTACCCCCCCCCTCCCCGGAGCCCCATAAGCAACAGGCTCTTCTCGTCTCGCTGCCGGAACCAGACAAAATGATAAATACCTATGGATGGCTGACTGGATTACAACGCGCAAAGGACCGCACAAAACTTGAACAACGGGCAAAGAAGGAGCGTTACCCTGTCGAACAACAGCTTCCCCTGCCGCTCAGTTGCTCAGTGGATGTTTGATTCCTGGACGAACACAGACTTTTCGGGCCTGGAGCTGCAGCTTGACGACTGCTTGTATTCGCGTGAGGGAGGTACGCCGATTGCAGGAATCAGCAGCTCAACTTTGTACAGCACTAGTTGTACTGCTCGGAGGAAGGACGATGATAGTATTCTGCTAATAAATTGATGCTGAGGCCGAGCGGCCCCTTGAATGCTGGGAATACAACCAGGGAAAGCAAGTCGTGGCATATCCACCCGCTGACATGTCAGGAAGAGTTGTAATGTATCAACGTTATTTGATTATGGTTGCATTGGATATGAATGATACAATCCAAGGTGTGATACGAAATGCAATGCGATGAAATGCAATATATAACATTACTAAGGAGGCATCTAATGACCATGCAGATACGAGAAATGTAACTAAATAGTTACACATGACACCTATAAATGTCAGATCTACCACAAATAAGAGCACCTAGGTAAGGAGTTCTCATTACGACACAAGTTCCAAGGAAGATACGGCAAAAGGCAAAATAGTTAGAACCAACATTCCGGCTCGACCACAGTGAGAGCGGGACAGATGATGCAAAAGTGATCGACGCCGGCATGATTCGAACATGCGCCTCCGAAGAGAATAGATGGCCAGAAGCACCCAAGGTATTTCTAGTCTATCGCATTAGACCACTCTGCCACGGCGCCGGATGATGAAATCCTCAGAACTTGAAGGGCTGAGAGTCATGTGAGAAGAAAGTCGGTGAGGAAAACTTGGGCGTTTGTGAAAGCTGGTCTAGACTGGTCTTGGGATCTGCAAATTGCCGATTGCTCCTCCGATTGGTAGAGTAGTGGATCGAATAGGGGTGTGTGGAGCTGGGTTGTTCTAGCCGTTACGAGTAGACCAGGTAGTCCACTATCAATCATGAAAGAAAAGAGAATTGGGGTGAACAACTTGAACTGAACTTGCAAATCACGACTGTACCTAGGTAGCGTAGGGATTCCATGGAAACCCCTCTGATTCAAGGTCCAGCAATGATGACTGTGTCTTTCCGATAGGTTGTCTCGCAGCCCGATTACTGCACAAAATGCACAATACCTGCACATCCATGTGCCCAGCTATGCCATGTCAGCAAGTTCTGAACCAGTGCATACCAGTGCATACGACTGCGGTCAACACAAGAAAGGAAACTCGATACGAGGTTACCTGAAATGTCGACGATCCAAATTCAAGACAGTGATTGGCACGGGTCTATACTGACGGAATTTGTGATTTCACAGCATTCAAACATCTGGAGTTGTGTTGGGCTCGATTGGAGAAAGACGGCCCTCAGAAGACCACAACTAATCTGGACCTCGGCATGCCATGGCATAGGATATTCCAAATGAGTGAGAATTTAGTCCACTTATGCCAACGCTTAGTACCACTCTGCTTTGAAATCATTTTCGCGGTGCTGAGGTGTAGTCTGAGCCTGTCCTTGATTCGAATCGGTCATATGTGCATCACTCGCTGAATCCAAAGCCGAGGTTCCGAGAGCGTAAACTTTATATGAAAGCTTCCAGCCCTGAAGCACCATCCGAGATAACCCTGAGAAATAGGATTGGTTTTCTGCCCAAATAACTCGGGATGACCCTTGACGAAACCGAATGGCCCCGCGAACTTTCGACGCCTGTGCCCGATGGGATGACAGCATTCAACACATTTGGATCGCGATGAAGCATGAAGTCTCCTTACTCGGAAATAGGACGCCCGGTTGCTGAACTCGGGAAAATCACCAGTGTTCCTGGGCCGTGAAAAGCAGATATAACACCAGCTAGATCTTCAGTTCAAGTCATACCATTTCATGACTCACCAGTTCAGTCGCAGTCAGATGCATTTAGTACCATGGAGCCTCAGACATCATCAGATGTGGTCACCGTCGACACCCTCCTCCGCCGAATGGTGGAGACTGCGCCAGACAAGGTGATGATTTCCTACCCAGAACGCGAGCTGGATTTCAGAGACTATACAGCCAAGGACTTGGATCGATTAACGAGAAGTGCAATAAGCACGTACCCCAAATCCCTCGGAGAGTCTGTGCAAAATGCGAAGCCCGGCGATGTGCCAGCAGTTGCCATAGTCGGACCCTCCAGCCTTGAATATTACATCCATCTCTTTGCCCTCAGTCGAATGGGCCTGACGACTGTGTGCCTGTCACCACGGCTGGCCGACAATGGATTGGCGCACCTCATACGGCTTCAGCGATGCACGGCCGTTTTCGCATATGGCACTTCAATTCAAGTCGTGGAGAGGGTGAAAACTACCCAAGGGAATCTGCCGGATTTCAAACTCCTTCACATGACCAAAGTAGCGGATCTCGAGGCCCTTTCGCGTCACAGAGTCCCAGTCGACCTCCCCACTTTAGAATATAAAGATGATTCCGACACGCCTTTCTTCGTTATTCACAGCGGTGGCACAACCGGCCTGCCAAAGCCTGTTGTCCGCCACGTGGGCCATGATCTCAGGCACATGGGACGACGTATTGCGGAGACTGTTCCAGACATGCTGGCGACACTTCCCGTTTTCCACAGTTATGGCTTCGCCCATTTCATTGCCACACTTTGGGGGACGTACAGACTGAGTCTTATGAACGCCTCCCGTCCTATGACCGCGTCAATCATTCTAGAAGCACTAGACATCACGAGGAGCGAGGCTCTAGCGACAGTGCCACACTTACTCAAGTTCATCAATGAGATCCCAGGCGGCGCAGAAAGACTTTCTCAGCTGCAGCGCGTGGCCGTAGCGGGCGCAGCTACGCCAGAGGTACTAGGGAACGAGCTGGTGGAGAAGGGTGTGAAAATCATGTCTCCATACGGGCAGACAGAAAGTGGTGGCTTGATGGTCAATTGCTCGGGACGGGACTGGATCTGGCTGAAGGCTTTGCCATTCGCAGAACCGCACCTGAAGTTCGAGCCGTACGGGGACAAGGAGCAAGGTCTGTGGCACCTTGTTGTGCTTCCCGAGATGCCCACTTTGGTCACGTCTAACAGACCTGATGGCTCGTACGAGACCAAGGATCTCTTTATGCGCCATCCCACTGACCCCAAGAAGTGGAAGTTTTCCCACAGGGCCGACGACATAATTGTATTGGTTAATGGCTTGAAAGCGGATCCACATCTTCTAGAAGAGGCCGTGGAAAAGAACCGCGACGTGAACACCGCGATGGCTTTTGGTGCAGGGCGCGACTCCCTCGGTCTGATCGTGGTGCCGTCGGCCAGCGCAGCAGGGTTGTCCAAGGAAGAGCTGGCGGCTCGCATTGCTCCTGACCTCGAGCTGGGAAACTCCAGAGTTTCAGCCTATACACGAGTCTCACTTGATTCTGTCATATTCAGAGACGCTGGCAGTGAAGTTCCAAGAACGGCCAAGGACACTCTTATCCGCTCCAAGTTCCACGAAATATGCAAAGAGGACATCGAGTCGCACTACGCCGCAAGAGAAGCGCAAGGCAACGCACAGATCTCCGTGGCAGACGACGAGGTCGAGGGCATTGTGAGCGAAGTCGTGAGCTCGGTGCTGTCAGTCGGATATGCCACACTGGGGGGTGACGACGACTTCTTTGGGCTGGGCATGGACTCGTTGCAGGCATCACACGTCCGCTCGCGGCTTCTCAGGCGCGTCAACGTCGGCGGCCGTCCCCTGCCAACCAATGTCGTCTTTGAAAATCCCACTGTGAGGCAGCTCACGGACTACTTCCTGGCGCTGAGAAATTCACAGGACCTCAAGGACGTGAAAGCCTCTGAGAGAGCCATCGCACAAGGACTAATACAGAAGTACACTCAATTTCCGCCCATCGAAACTCGAGGCCTGCAGGCTGGCCCTGGGCGCGTTGTCGTAAGATACCACCGATTGGATGAGCTCCTCAGAATATTGCTAAATTGTCTAGCTGCTCACTGGGGCCACTGGTTTCATTGGCCGCCATGTAGTCCATCGTCTCATGTCATGCCTCAACGTGGACCGGGTGTATTGCCTCGTCCGAGCGGACTCGGATATAGCGGCAGACCTACGCATCACCGAGTCCCTTCGCGAGGCCCGTCTAGATGTTGCTGATCACAGTGCAAGGTTAAAAGTTGTCGCCCTTGCCTCTGACATTGGACAACAACATCTCGGTCTCAACGACAAACAGTACGATGCGTTGCGTACTTCGGTCACAGACATCATTCATGGTGCCTGGGCTGTCAATTTCAACATGTCATTGCCATCCTTCGAGCCATCTATTGCCTCCGTCTCTCGATTGCTGGGACTTTCAATGTCTTCCCCTCTACACCCAAAGCCAACCTTCTCATTCATCTCGAGTATCGCCACTGTAATGCGGGCGAGAGAACAAGGCGTGGTCAAGGAAGCTAGGTATGGATGGGAGGCCACAACTCCCATGGGCTACGGACAGTCGAAGTGGGTTGCAGAGGAGATCTGCGTCGCAGCCGACAAGTATGCTGCAAAGAAGGGTGTCGCTCTGCCAGTCCAGATGCTCCGAGTCGGGCAGGTTGTGGGTGACACAAAGCACGGAATATGGAATCCTAAAGAGGCGATTCCATTGACAGTGCAGAGCGCCCTGACAATTGGCGCGCTTCCTCTTATACAGGGGGACGACGCGACCTTTTGGCTGCCAGTCGACATAGCTGCAACTGCTGTGGTCGAACTAGCCTTTCGCAGTCGATCCCGTGGCGACGGCAAAGAAGCACGGATATTTCATCTTTCGAGCACTACTCCGGTACGCTGGAATACGGAGTTCCTACCTGCTCTCAAAAGAAATAATCTTTCTTTTGAGACCATCCCTGGGCAGGAGTGGGTACGTCGGCTGGAGAGCGCAGTCCCCAACCACAGACTGCTTCAGTATTTTAAGGCGAGGTACGGTGCGGTTCGTGACGAGCAATCTTCTCAACGCGCACGAGGCGCATTTGATATGTCTGAAGCGCAGAGGTATTCCAGCACATTGAGGGAGGTTCCCAAGATAGACGAAAAGCAGGTTGGGCGATTTTTGACTTACTGGATGGGACTGGAGAAATGGAAGTCTGTCCGGAGAGGAACTGACATTGACGGCCAAGCTTGTACAGCGACGAAGGGCAAGAGAGATAGCGGCATTGGCATAGGGAAGATTTAGTGATTTCAACAGACTGCAGGCGAGAAAGGCTTTCATGATGTGTCCGATCACCGGAGTGTTGATTCATACTTCATACACAGTGCTGCGATTTAGTTCCACCTGAAGAGCGACCTATTGGGTCTTAGACAGAATGCTGTGTACAAAGCGCTTGAGTCTTAATCTGCAACAAGCGTATAGGAAGGCAGAAATTCGATTTCCAAGCGTCGTCCACAAAGGCAATCGTCGGGTTCAGAACACGAACTCTCAAAAGCAGCCAAGACCTGTTAGTTCCAATGCATCCCCTCCAACCAGGTGAGTTCAGCAATAGTATCAGCTCTCGCAAACCAGGTCCAGGTTCCTATGCACTCATCGCAACATCAACTCCTTCGACGTTTGACTTGGACAAGCAAGACGAGAGGGCTCAAGCAAGAAATGGTCTCCCCTGGCCCTAAGACGCCGTAATCTTTTCCGAGAATTCCCGGCCATCGTTGTTCCCAACACCGCTCCTCTCTTGTCGGCTATTCTCCTGTTCGTAAGTGAGAATTTCCTCGATGTGACCATCCACGTCGGTGGTAACAACGCGGCTGTGCT